AGGCATGGGACAAGGCCATAATGAACAGCACCTAGTTGGCCATGCAAGTGATCAACAGAAAAACACATGCCATCTCTCTCGACACAAGCCAAAAGACCCATAACACAGAAATATCCATGAATTCAGATGCTTAGCCTCTTTTATACTGACCTGCTCCCCATGTGGAAACCAGAAATTTCTCCTCTGTTTTTCCTTCCTACACTCAATATCATTGTAAACAGTTTTGTTGAATTTATTGTCTCTTCCATACTTCTCACTCTGTGATTTGTTTTCCTAGAGATAAATGTGTAAAACCAATAAAACAAGATATAAATTGATTTACCATGTGAAGAAATTTATCTTGAAACTGTCTCTCTATATCTCTCTCATGGTAATCCAACAACCAGAGAAAATAAATGGGTACTGTTAGTTTTAAAGAAAAAAAGGTAGAAAAGTTGTTGCATCACACAAACTTGCATTCCATCAGGGGAAAATTTATCACGGTCTTTATCACCTAAATGCAGGTTAAATTCCATCAAAACCAATCTGATTGAGCTTCCCACATGTTGCTTTTTATTTGTAGATCTGTTATGGTATGGGTGTTTTTGGACTTCAAACCATTTTGGTAAAGAAAGCGATGCTGATTCCAATACATGTATCACCGATAGAGTATCGTCAATACATTTTTGTAAGAAAATGTCCAAACTGACAGGCAAATATTTAATTTCAATGTTTGATGCACTGCAAACAATAGATGGAGTGAGGGAGGGAGGGAGGGAATGAATGTATCGAAGTATTGATTTATTGATTTTTTTCCAATACATCGTGAGAAAGATACCCTAGCGATACCAATAAAACAATACTGTTATCGAGCATGTAAGGTGATAACGATACCAATACAAAAGTATCGATCAGTATGTATTGCTAATACCTGTATGGCAATACTGCCTATCTCTGATTATAGTTTGTAACTTTGTTTGGACTATGGAAGGAAGAATATCTCTGGTATTGAAACAGCTCTTTTTTGGGCTAGGCAAGATGTTTTAGAATGTAGAAGATTGTTGCCACAATTAGATAAAAATAGATGAATCATATTAAGACTCACGTAATTTTAAATATTATATATCCTATGGATGTGAAAATCAAGGTGGAAGTTGTGTGCAAATGTTTAATATTGTTTTTATATAAATCATAACAATTTTGCAATAATGATCATGAACTTCTTTTTCAGGTCTTGGTCAGTTTGGAGGACATCAGCCTTGAAGGAGCCACTGTGCCTGTGGGTGTGGTGTGGTCCTTGGTTGGAGCTGTGTTGTATGCCTGTTACATGGTCTTCCTGAGACGCAAGGTTCCCACAGAAGACAGGATGGATTTCACAATGTTTTTTGGTGTGTTGTGGTTTATTTATTTATTTTGTTGTTTTATTCTTTTAATTATGGATATATTTTGATGTGTTCTTCATTTCCAAGTGACACATTGTTTTTTTTCGGAAATCTTGATTTGAGCATTTAACCTATTTGCGACGGGTGTCCCAAATATGAGACACCCGTAAAAATAAACATTGCCGGGTATCCTGCTAGTGTGACGCTGGATCGGAGCTTGTGGTCTGATTCCGCCGCGGGCCATGGCCGGCGTGCGGGCAGATTCCAGGCCAGCCACGCGTGCAGATTTTGAAGATGCCCGGAAACGATTATTTTCGGCTTCAAAATATATCGTCACTAGTGGGTTAATATTTATACTAAATAAATCACTGAACAAAGCAGTCACCCACACCTGTTTTTTACCAGTTCCTGTAGGTAATAATTGCAGAAAAGTTGTATGAATATCCTGTAGTTTGTGATTTTCCCAGTCAGCTGATTCTAAATGCTTTTGTTTCAGGATTTGTCGGCTTGTTCAATACCATAATTCTGTGGCCGGGATTTCCTCTGTTAGATGTCTTAGGATGGGAAACATTCCAGTTACCAAACAAGGAGCAGCTTCTCTACATGTCTGTTAATGGATTGATTGGGACTGTGCTCTCAGAACTATTGTGGCTGTGGTAAGTGCTTCACTCTAGAATGTTTAGATTGAATATATGAATGAGGCCATTCCAGATTGTATGGGTGAATGTATGTTCTCTCAGAATTACTGTGGCTGTGATAATGAAAGATTTTACTCTTAAATGTTACGAGTGAATAAGGTGAGTGCTATAATTTCAGATCAGATCAGAGTCTGATTGTTCTAGGAGGTTTGTCACGAAGGTTAAGATGATAAAGCATGACAACTGTAAGATATATGTACATGTTTCAAGTAACAGAAAGAAAAAAGATTATTTGGAAGTATAGATGAAAATTCCAAATCCAGCAGGAAGTAAACTTGTTTAGTTCATTGTTGGGTTTTCTATGATTGTAACAACATGGTAGTATGTTTTTGTCTTGTATAATTCCTAATGATATTTTATTTTACAGGGGATGTTTCCTTACCTCTTCTCTGATGGCCACATTGTCGCTGAGTCTCACTATTCCTCTTACCATGGTCGTTGACATCTTTGTGAAAGATGTCGAGTATTCACTTATCTTTTACATTGGCGCAATCCCAATGATGTTGTCGTTCATCGTCGTCACACTTCTTACACACTATGAAAATTGGGATCCGCTCATGGATTGTATAACAAAAATAAACAGAAGATGTTCCAGAAATAATCATATGTATAGGTATGATTTTTTTTTAGTATTCCACTGTCATTGTAATTACTCTCAATGAAAGTATTCTCAAAAAGAGAATTTTGATGACCGCTCAAGCCAAAATTTTCTGTTTAGTTACAGTTCCTGATATCCTACACAATGCTTTACTATTCAAACTTTTTCACCTTTTCAGTTTGGTGGACACAGAAGGCTTGGAAAGAGAGAGCTTAATAGTGAACGAAACTGGTGTGGATGAAGCAGAAGAGGAGGATGAGGAAGAAGTGGACACCACAGGAATCAACAATGCCATCGTTATCACCGACAATGCCTCAGCTTCCAACTCTATGCCAACTATGATTAACAACATTATATAATGCTATGGATCAAAAAAACAATGATCTATAAGAATAAATTCCTTTTCTTTTCTACTCTCTCTCAAGAGAGAACTGGAACACATTCTTTTATGATTTTTCTTGCACTTAGTTGAAATGGGAACGGTAATGCTTACATTTACAGAATATATGGTACAAGTTTTTTACTTAAGGAAATACCATTTCGATCTCTGGTAGTATAAAATGATCCTTCCTAACTTTGCTGCTTTCATAGTTGTTGATGGAAAGAGGAGGGAGAAGATAACAAGAAAAAGAAGAGAAAGATTAGCTATATAAAAGATCAAGATTGATTGTGGTAAATCTGGAGGAAAAGTGAGAGGCTGTAATAACAGTACTGGGAGACGTATTGAGTTTGCAAATTTGGATGTCTGGTAAAGAAATTTAAGGATGAGAGACACAAAGTATGATGTTGAAAGGAAAAGTTAACAGAAAATTACATGTTTTTTTTGGGTGTTACTAATGATCAACTTGGATTGTTTAAGTGAGATGCAATATATTATTTTGATATCTTACATATCATGAACATATACTCATGCACTTATTTCCACATTCTAACTCACACACTCACATTCACCTTCACATTCACATTCACATTTATATACACTCACTTCCATTCATGCTCATGCTTATTCACACTCACACTCACACTCATACTCACACTCTCACACTCACACATACTCATGCTCACACTCACACTCACACTCACTTTCACACACACTCACTCACACTCACACTCATACTCACATTTACACTCACACTCACATTCATATTCACACTCAACTCACACTCATACACATACACTTGTCAAAGTAAAAAACAACAAAAAATACATTCATCCATTAAGACACACACTGAAACTCACGTACAGAAAACAAGGTCTTTTGTCCTCAGAATACGTGAAATAATTTCATGAGTTGAAAAGACATGATTTTGTAATACTGTTGTGGTATATAAGATGCACACATATTTGATTATTTTGAAATAGATGTATGTTATATGACAATAATTTGAATTTAACCAAAATGTGTAGATCTTGAAATAGTAAGTAAATATCAATGGAAATTCCTTAAATTACCAACAGCCATTTAATTAACTGTAAACAGTGAAACACTTGTCTTTTTATTATATATATCTGGCAGCTACCTCCTTTTATTTTTTAGTGATGTCGTAAGGTGACAATGCCCTTGTTAATGTAAGGTAGCCTACCCCTGGCTGAAGCTGAAACTGTCTGTCCATATCAGGTTAGTGCTCAGTTCATTGAAGTGATCTATACTGAACAAATAAGTTTTACAGTCATATGTTGTTGATTTCAACTGTATTGGTATCTGTTTTTATATTATCAGTATTTACTCGTGTCTCCGATAAGGTAAACAAGTTTTCAGTGTTTAATGCAGTCAATTTTCACACTTATTTTATTCACATACATTCTCATTCTAGGTGTTTTTTCCGTGTCTCTTATATGCCACAAGGTATGGTAAATGGTTTAAGAATTTTTCATATTCTTTCATAAATGCTTTCAGATTTTAAAACAGAAGAATACTGAAAGTTACAAGGGTACGAGGGATAAGAAGGAAAGATTACCACAATGTTGATATTTTATTTTTAGAGGCAATGGGTAGGTAAGTTGCACTTAAGCTTAGAATATAGATATAAACCTTGCCTGAAATGGACTTACATCTTCATTCATATTGGAGATGCATCTTACAATGTTATTTATGAAAATTTTGTGATTTTTGACGAGTGAACCATGTTGGAGTTGTAGTCAGAATGATTATCATTTGTACTTTCATCATATGATGTATGTAATTACAGATCAGTGATTAAGATGAAAAGCAATGGCTTCACTCAACATACGTGTTCAAAAAGTATCAAAAGTAATAACTTATCTTTTATGGTGGTATTAGATGACAACTATACAAGTAATTGGCTAATCATATAGAGTTTGCAAAGTAAGTGATTTCAGGAT